GCCATCTTTGAGTAAAAATTATCAGTATTACTTATTCGTGATCCTGCTTCGTTAGCATTGTCGCTGTTCAACAAAACTTTCATCCAATGCATTTTTAGTACCATAGGAGTAATCATTACCGGGTACTATCTCTTCAGGGGGTGACCGGTTCATGCCTAATCTTGAAGCCACGGACGTCTTCAAGCAGACGTAATGGATGTGGAGGCACCAAATTCATGTTTCAGTAGCCAGATGACTAAAATCGAAACAAAAAGACAATGCCCTGTGTTTAACTAGTGGAAAAAGGATAACAGTAAGTAAATAATTACATCTAGACAGAGTACCAGACTGAATTCATTGTTTCTTAAGTTGAATATTTTTTATTGGAATATTATTCTGTGCTGGAAGGAAGCACATCTTAATATAAATCACATACCGCAACTAATATCGGTTAAAATGAAATTCCGCTGGCGTTGGCGCTGCATGATAATTTACGTTGAGTCTAGTGCTGTATTTCAAGTCTAAATGCATTAGAATTTTATATGATAAGCAGAAGTTTTGCCATTTCAAGAAGTAAAATTTTCGAAAGTCTACAAAAAAAGTTACTTATTTTACGAGTTCCGATACATACACAAGTACACATCTGTGTACATGAAGACCAAATGCAATATAAAAATACTTATAAATGGATTTTGTTCCATTGCGTGCGCTCTGGCATCAGCGCTTGCTGTTCGCAGCTTAGAGCCTGCAGGTTCAAGACACCATTAACAGTTAACAGCAGTTATGGCCTGACAAAAAAAAAAAAATAACAAAAAAAAAAATTAAAGAAAATGTACTAAGGAAAACCTTAGTCCATGTGTGTGTGTATGTGCTTGGCTTGTTGAATGTATAGCGATTTGTTTTCAGCGCTTTTCCGAAAAAAAGTTCTGTTTCATTTTATTTTTGGCATTTTTCTTTTCTTTTATTATTATTTTTCGTTGTTTTTTTTTTGTTTTTTTTGTGCAATTCATGTTTTCTTTTTTAAGTTGGAAAATAGGTCCGTTTTGGTTTAATACTATTTGGTTTTCTTGTTTATTATGAAAATTGTTAGCGGCTTAAATGGCTTTCAGCGAAGTTTAAACTTTTTTGGTATTAAGTGATAACACTGAGGAAAATAAGATTTCCAACTTGATAAGCATTTTCCACTCCGAAATGACTAAAAACAAAATTTCTGCTGTTACTTTGGAAGTCACGTGGCAGCTTATACAATAAAAGCTTTTATCTCAAGTGGAATTACAGCGAGGTTCAGAGAATGTTTCATCTTTAAATTTTCCATGGATTATGTTCAAATTTAATTGCGTTAATAGAGCTTCAAAGAGTTTTCCAGTCTCAGAGCATAAAAATTATGTTAAACATCAACAACATTAAACTCAACAATAGCAAATTTGGACGGAAATAATTAAATTTAATGGTAATTAACCATAATGTGGCTGGAAACTGGTTGCCTTTAAATGGAAAAACTTATTTGAGCGATGACCATTAAGATTAGGAATTTGTGCCTTAAATGTTTGATGTAACTACTAAACCGAGATGAGTTTGACTTAACTCTGATTAAAGTTTGAGTGATTTTATTACTGCTTTCTTTTCGCCATAGTAAAACTTATAAATGCCATTACTACTACACTCGTTAACTATCCTTACT